ATCCATGATTGAATTTTTTGAAAATTTGTGATTTTTTTTGTTTAATCCATGATCGAATTTTTTTTTGTAATCCATGATAGAATTTTTTGAAAATTTGTGATTTTTTTTTTAATCCATGATCGATTGTTTTAAAAATTTGTTTTTTTTTTTTAATCCATATTATTCAAAGAGAAAACGAGAGAGATGATGATTCTGAGGCCACCCTATCCCAGCCATATTATTCACATATCGAGTCCCAACAGTAACAGTGTAGGGATGAGCACGAAATACTGTAAATTAAATGCTGAATGGCGGTTCATGCAGGGAAGGAACATATCAATATTCGCATATTCATTCAAAAACATGAAAATTCTTAATGGAGTACCCTCATTTTTTATTGAATTCCTAAAAACCAATATTTATAATGAATTTTAATAATTTTTTCGAATTTTTTTTAAGCTTTATTCTGACCGATTCACCCGATTCCCGATCGGGATCGCTGATTCGCCAATCCGGATCGATTTTTTGGAAGCCCGATCCGGGTCACCGATCCGTTTTTTAAACCATTGGTCGAGATGATCGATTAGAAGGTTTTTTCAACATTAAAACAACATTTTCAAGGTTGCAACCTTATATAAACTTTTTTCTTTTTAAAAACCCATCTTTCCTATCAAATACCCCTCCCCCTCCCCCACCTAAAAAAAGTACAAAAATAAGGACCATACTACCTCTCCTTTACCCTACATTTTTTACTTTTCACTTTCGCTCTCTCTCTCTCTTCACTTTCTTCACTACTCTCTTCACTGTCTTCACCACTCTCTTCATTGCCTTCACCGGCGCTCTCTCTCTTCATTGTCTTCACTGGTGCTCTCTCTCATGATTTATCACGGTTGACCCAGCGCGCTCTCTCATGATTTAGCCATCACTCTTTCTCTCTCACGATTTACCCATTATCACTGGCGCTTTCTCTCTTTCTCTCACTATTTACCCATTCTTCACTTGCGCTCTCTCTCTCTCTCATGATTTACCCATTATAGGTGGTAAAAAACCATGCTTTGTTGCTCTCTCTCTCTTCACGATTTACCCCTCAAACCAGGTAGAAACAATCGAGCTCGATTTTAACCCTAAATCAGCCCATAGGTACGAAAGAGAGTTTACTATTATAAAAATAAAAAATAAATTACTGTCCTCTCTATAAAAATAAAAATTAAATCGGTTAATGGTTTTTTACCCATCATAGGTGGTAAAGACCAGGCTGTGGTGCTCTCTCTCTCTCTCTCTCTCTCTCTCTCTCTCTCTCTCTCTCTCTCTTCAGGATTTACCCCTCAAACCAGGCTCCCTCAAACCATGCTGAAGTAATGGAGCTTGGTTTTAGCCCTAAATCAGCTCACAGGTACGAAAGAGAGTTTATTATTGTAAAAATAAAAAATAAATTATTGTCCTCTCTATAAAATTAAAAATTAAATCAGGTTAGTGGTTTCTAGATGGTTTTTTCTTTGATCCCACATGTAATTTAACTTTTGTGAAATTTATTTAAGTAAATTGTTGATGACTTATATTATGTAACATTCCTTTCGTGGCTAGATAGATTCTTCGTGCGTATATTGAAGATTTAAATAAGAGAGAATAAATTGATCAGAGAGAATAAATTGAATTCATGTGTATCTGTTTCTCAATATTGATTATCCACTTTGTTAAATTTATCTAAATGAATAGAGATTGATTTGAATATGGTATATTTAAGGCTTGAATATTAGTGGTAGTTGTAATTTTTTTTTTGAAACTGTTTACCTTTGTATAAAAAAATGAATGTGGTATCTTTAGGGCTTAAATGTGGCATCTTAGCAAAGACGAGACTCTTAGCAAAGACGAGACTCATTGTGAGGTTAGTTATACAAAAAATTGACTAGAGGAAAGAGCTTGTTACAGAGAGAAGGTCGGGATTCTAGAGTTACCCTTTTTACGAAAACGATAGAAAAAATGAAAAGATCAAAACATGTGTTCCCTATCGTCCGTTGCAAATAAGAGAGAATAAATTACCCCATTTTGGTAGTTGTAAATTTTATTCCCTATTGTAAATTTATTCTCTACTGACTAGAATTGAGTTTGTTTTGTTATCAATTTTGGATATGAATAATCCATCATATTATTCTTGTTAACTTTAGTTTATTAAAAAATAAAATTATGTGTAGCTCTTGTTTTTGTAGGTTATATACCCCCAATAATATGCATACCTTCTGTTAAAATTTAATTGTAGCTCCATGAAAATAATTTCTAATAGCTTGCTAAGCTTCCACAAGTTCAAGACTAGTATTAAGATGTTGTAATGCAATGTATGAAGTGTAAATTATTACAAATTTTGTGCAGGACAAACAAAATGGGTAATAACAGAATGGGTTATTGTATTTTTGATAGAAAACTCCAATCAAGTATCGATGGGACTTTGAATTATATTGGTGGTAATGCATGTACATTTATGATTGACAGTAGCACTAGGTTAGATGACATGCAAAAATACGCAGCAGAGCGGTTCTCACTTGACATTCACTTAATATCTTTGAGGTAACCTATTCATTGAGATGATATTATTAGGATGTTGAACACCCATGAAGGTGAGAATGATGTGCTTGTCTTTGTATTTGATAGAAGTGAACGTTGGGATGGAAGTACTTCACATAATATTATGGCAGTCAAAAAGGTTAGACCCCCACAATCCTCTAATGTTTTAGTCTTTGTCTCCAAACAAAGCATTGCACCAAGGTTGCTTAGCACATCGGATAATGCACTTTCTGAGATAGGACAATAATTTGAATCTTAAAAAGATTTTCGAGAAGCCCTTAGCAAGTTTGCTATAGCAAACCATTTCAAGGGGCACCATGATTAAAGAAATACTCCCATGTGCCCCCCCACCCCCCCCTCATAGGCCATAATGACAAGAGAATATTGATATATTATCTAATTTATGTATTTTATTTTTTATTAACTTAATATGCATTCAAAGTAATTTTCTATTTTGTTTTTCATCGTCTACTTGCAGCGATTAACATGTATAGGGATGCTACAAGCTGTGCTTAAGGGTGAAGTATTAGCAAAGGAATCAAGACATTATGTACAGGCGACCCATGATTTGCTATTAAAGAACACTCATTTGGAGACAAATGCCAAGGAGAGAGTGGAGGGAGATGGTGGAAGCGAGAGCGAGGATAGAGATGGTGGAGATAACGAAAGCGAGAGCGATGAGACAGATAGTGAAGATGAGGAAAGCGAGACTGAGGAGAGAGATGGTGGAGATGAGGAAAGAGAGAGCGAGACCGATGACGAAAATAAGAGGAGAATGAAGAACAAAAATGACAAAAGCAA